CTTTGTACTTGATGTACTTTATACTCTGTGTGCACTGTTTGCTCTCAGAGATGACAACTGCATCACGCATCCTCTCTCTTCAAAACTCCAGCTGCTCCCAATCTCCTCCCTGCTGATGACCTTGTTGTAGCCATCACTGAGTCAGATGAGGATGAGCTCATCTTCCCACCACCCGCTCCACCAGCGGGCATGCTTCTGTCCCTGCAGACTTTACTTTTCAGCATACTAAATGAAAGAGTATGTGTGCGTCTTCTGAAGCCCCAAATTCCCTTTTGTTCTTCCACATGTTACATGGATGTATATATGGCCCCATCTCCTTCTCTAGCCATTACTCTACTTCTCAATTATCCTCAGAAAAATTCCTCAACTAATTTGAATTAATCACCTGCTGTACTTACTGCCCTTTGGTTTTCTTCTTACTGCTTCCCATTGGACTTTCAAGCTCACCACTCCACTATAATAGCTCTTATTAAAGCTACCAAAGACAGCATTTGCCAAAACAAATGGCCATCTATCTGTTTTCATCTTTTTTTTTTCTTTGCAGCACTTGATATAGGTGACTACTCCATCCATCTGTCAATCCACCTGTCCATCCAGCCACCCATCCATGTGAAACCATCTTCTCTTATTTGCTTCTATGACACTGCATTTGCCTGGCTCTCTTTCTATTTCATTGGCCATTTCATACCTTCTCTGGTTCCATGGCAGGCATTCTCTTCTCAACTAACCTTCTGAATGTCATGTACCCGAGAGATAGGAACTATTTAAGGAACCAAAAGATTTAGAGGAAACTTTACTTCCTTAGGCACAATCTGGGAACATATATTTTCCTTCTCCCATTTGTGGCTTATCTTTTTTCTTTCCCTATGAACCGTCCTCCGTGAAGAAAAGAATCAGGCACAATTCCGTGAAACTGCTTTCCATTAAACCTAGTTTGATTGCTCACCTGTAGACATTTACATTTATATTATCCCAAGATAACTGCATAGATTTATCTTCCCAAAAGAGAACTGGGATGTCTGCTAGCTGTCTTAGTCCAAGGACCGTTTTTAAAATAAGTTCTTTAATTTTAAGTAAAATTTCAAAAAAAAAATAGACACTGTCAAGTCACTCAGATCTGTCCATAACAATGATGAATTTAAATAATTCCCAGTCTTAATGACTCAGACCCCTGTAGTAACACAGCATGGCTCTTGGAGATTCATGTGCAAGAGTAGAAAGATCACAAATCACACTTCATCAAGATACATGCATTATAAAGTGAATTGTAAGGTCACCGTCATAGATTAAAGCAAGTCATTTTCAAGAGCACAAGACAGATTAAAAGCAAAAGGAGCAGTTTAGTAGCAAAGCACATGAAATAGATGACTAAAGTTATATTTTATAAACAAAACTGCCCCCACTGCTAACTCACCCAGGAACCCAGATGTTTATTTATATAATTTGCAATAATATAAATATGTAGATATTTTATAGATAAATTATGGCTATCCACTATCACTGTAAACACAGTATGTCAAGAGCAGAAATAATTCTTTTCTCTCCAATCTAGCACCCAGCACCACCATTTCCACAGTTGGCAATAGGTAACGATATAATTCCAGTCTCTCTCCACTCCCACCCACCGCTGGAAGTATTTCAGTTATTTTTGCCTTCTCCATCTTCCCCTATAGCCAAGCATTCTTCAAGTTCTTCTGCTTATTGCTGTGAAGTTTCTCTTAGACTTGATACCACTATTGCTTGTTTTTGTTTGGTTTGCCTCTTGCTGTCTGTCTCGTTCATTTGTTGGTACCTCTTCTTCTGTCCACACCTTAAACAGAGGCCTTCCCTGGTGTCGGGGCAGAACATTTTCTTTGTTCACTGTTTATTGTCTCTCCAGATGAGTTCATTCTTCCATATAGTTCTCAAAAATCATTGGCTCTTAAAATGATATCAGTAGAGACGATTATATATTCTGTGGATAGCTCCCTTCAACATGACTCAACATGAGCCCAATGGAACACATTATCTTCCCCACCAAACCTGTTCTTCTCTTAGTGACATGGATGGAACCAATATCCACCCAGTGGCCTCCCCAACAGACATCGGTATGTTGACTTTTCCTTTTTCATCACCCACATCTAATCAATAATGAAGCTATACTGATTCCATGGGATACCTAGCTCATACACCCAGCCTATCCTTTATTCTCTGTCAGCATTTTATCTCGCTGAGCAGCCCGCTCACTTGGAGGCTGCCTTTTATTTTTTCATTCTGACACTACCAGAGATTAAAGGTCAAGAGAAGAAGTTGGGTAAGCTGGGGATAGTGGGGGAACATGTCCTTGGAAGTAATTGCCAAGAGATTTTCCAAGCTGACTGATTTCTTCTGTAGGAACTTCCCTAACTTCTTTGGAGGTATTCTAGCTGAACCCTTTCTGCCCATTCTTTCATGATATGGAAATTTCTTCATCTGCAGCTGCTGCTTCTAATCTCCCCCAAACTTCTCCCTCTGGCATTCATTTCTTGGCATTTTACTTCTGGAATTCCCTTTGTTTTGCAACCTCTTTCTGGAGTAGGATTCCTTTTAAAATGCTCCTGAGCTGATCAGCCTACCCTGACTCTTATTTCTGTTATGATATTTGAATTCTCAACCTATCATCAGAATTGACCAGATACAGTGACTTTTCTACTTGGAATCAGCCCTGTATCCTGGGGTCAGGGTTTGTTTAGCTTTCTCAGGGGTGAGTCAGACAAAATTTCCTATGGCCCCTAACCACAGAGGACAAAAATCAGCCACGGACATTCAGAAAGTGGTCCTATTGAAACCCCTCTTTATGGTCTTAGGACAAAAGATAGGCAACCATTTCTTCCATAGCACAGCTTGCCTATCTATCTATCTATCTATCTATCTATCTATCTATCTATCTATCTATCTATCTATCTTACTTCATAAACCCCCTTTAAAAAGCTAATTCACATTCTCTTTAAATAATTGAAATGCATAAGGGTTTTAAGAGCCATGGGAAGGTTTTCCACAATCTCATCTATAAGTTTGCATTTGTTCTAACATGACTTGGAAATTGTTATCTACTATAAACTTAAATTTATCTTCTGCTCACACTAGCTTCATGTATATTGCCAAACCCTCCCTCCCCAAACCTCTCTAGACTTTTCTCACCTCTCCCTCACACACGCTTACATACTTCCAATTGTTTCTTCAGGGCTGCTGAAGATTCGGGTAAGATCCTTTTCATCTCTTTAAGATTCTGAACTCAATGCTGGAAATCAGTTTTGTTACAACCTATATGGTAGGGATGGGGAAGGAGAGAAAATCGTGCACAGAAACAAAGCCGAAAGTGTTGAAAGATGATGCTGTACCGATGTTAAAGAGCCATGGGAGGGAAGAATGCCTGGAGGTGTATAACACAAATTCAGTGGCAAGTAAAGGCACTAGAAAGCCTTCCTGAGGAATCAGAGGCAAATAATCGAAGGCAGCAAAAGGGACAGGGAGACAAAGGGATTTGAAATCACTGAATATATTTGTATTTTTACTTGTGCACTCTTTTCCCTTGGAGTGCTGCCACTGACTTCTCAGAGTAAGACGCACAGTCCGATTTGCACTGCAATAAACTGATCTGTGTTCTCTGATTGTCTTATATCCCTCAGTGAGGATATGTGTTTATGGGGAGAGATGGGAAGGAAGATATGTGGGCTGGATTTCTTTTAATAGATTAAAATCAAACCCTTAAAATCTTTTGCTTTGCTCCGTGTGAACTGCAGTTAAGTAAGCTGTCCAATTCATATCCTCCCCAGGGACGACTGAATGAATTGTCCCAGGGCTTCAATTTTTCATCCATCCAAGACTCCTCCTGACCAAAATGAGTCCAGTCATCAGGAAGCAGTCAAACCTTCCCCTCCCACCCCAAGGGACATAGAGCAACTACTCCACAGACACTGAAACACTCTACCTCACCTAAATCTTCATTCTTCTGCGTATTACCAACATTCTAAGATTAATCTTAAGTCTCCTTAATGCCTTGCTCCCATGCACCACACTCAATTCTAGTATGTGTTTTATTGTCACCTCAAGGGCAAAAAGTGTGACATTTCTGGACAAGGATCCTGTTCGATACCCTTCAATGCAAGACTGAGCAGACAACCACATAGAACCAGACTGCTGTTATTGTTGCTAGTAATCATGTGTTCCTAGAACTGAGACTCCGCCTAAGAAACAGTTTGAACAATTTATTCAGTATACGGTAGTGTTGTTGAGGATGAAGATGAGTCTGATTATATACCCATATTTCCAAAGACCACTTTTTCTTCCATGTTTTAAAAAGACTGAGCCAATCTTTCATGCACAAAGGCTCCAGTATATGTTCCTCACTTACATAATTTTAACTTGAAACTGCCTTACCACTGTTATCGAAAGAAAGAAAACAATTGTACCAAATGTGCATACATCTGTGCACATCACAGCTGCAAAGGCGGGCAGGGCAACATCAAGATCCAGAGCTCAGTTCTGGAGCCAGGTGTCCTGGGTTGACATTCCAGCACCAATGAAGTCACAAACTATAGAACCCACAATATTACCTTTGCTTCCTCGTCTATCAAATGAGATTAAATGCCATATAGCTCAGAGCGATATGGCAGTTAAACTAACACATTTGAAGAGATCATCAGAGTAGTTATACGTTATCTATTTTTGTAGTTGTAAGTCATAAACAATAGTATTGTGTATGAGAAATATAAAAAATAGCCATCAACAATAGAAATGTTTGAATATTTTTACTAGCTAGAGCTAATACATCAGCTGACTTTTTAATGAGAATTATTTAAAAAAAAGAATTATTTTTAAAAATGTGGGGCATAGGTAGTTAGGTCTGTTCGTTTGTTTATTTACTTATTGTAATGGAGACACTGGGATTGAACCCAGGACCTCGTGCCTGCTAGGCGTGCGCTCCACCACTAAGCTATACCTTCCCCCCATAGCTAAAATTTTAACGGTAACCTTTTTTTTTGGATGAATCCTCGTACTTGTACGCTAGTAACTGTAAGACGTGTTATGGAAACAATACTTTTCTCTACTGAGGAACACAAGGAACCTACTATTATGACACTACTTAGACTGTTCATAGTCTAATATTAAAACTAGCTTGGCTAGACATGGGCCACCCTGAATTTATGCAGAGATGGTGCTATCGTCTGACTTCACTTACATGCAGAAAGTTGATAAAGCACAGGCTCACATCTTACAATCTTACAAATCTTACAAATCCAAATTCACCTGAAGGAACCGTGTATCTCCTTTGTATCCTCAGTATATATTATGGCTATTATTCTGGCAATCCATCACTTTGGGTTCCTCAGTTGGAAAATCCGTTTGCCAAGAGTCATTTTTCCATCCAGCTGCGATTCTTTAAAGCCTCAGAAAACAACGTGAGCATAAATCAAAGGTGTACTGAGTCTGACATAAAACAAAAACCGGTTCTGGACTGAAAATCATCTATTCAGAGAAAACGGCTTTTCAAAAATCTTGAAAAATATAATTTTAAAAATCCAGTATGACTTGGAAACAAAAAGGTTTACAACTTTCAGAGCAGCATTAGCAGCAGCAGACACTTGGAGAGTTATGTAGTCCCATTCTAGTCCTATTTATTAAAACAAATATATGTATTATAAAATACTCAGTATATAATTCTGTATAATAGTTGGTGCCATCCAGTGATATACAGATTAATAAAAAACAAAAACAGAGGCTCTCTCTTGGAAGTATCAATCCATCTATTTTTTCAAATCATGGATAGTGAATAATAATAGTGATCATAATGGACTACGTTAAATGCTTTATATAAATCATCTCATTTTAATCTTAAATCAAGCCTGCCAGGTAGATATCATTTCTCACATTTTACAGATGGAAATTGAGCCCAGGAAGTGTGACCAGAGTAACCTGAGTCCAGTTGTGACTCTTAATGAAGTATTTCCACCACAGCATGTTTCTCTTTACAAAGAAAGGGAGCTACTATTATTAAATGCAAACACTGACTGTGACATTTCTACTATCTTAAGTGACGCATCTGATGTCATAAGCTCAGGTTATAAGCAATAAGGGGTTTGTCAGAATCAAGAGAAGACTCATCACATGACTGGCCAACAGGGATCTGTTCAATACGGTGAATAGAAGGCTTTTGGTCCACGCCCCCCTGGGCAACAGACTTTCACAGACCCTTCAGCGGAGTGCTTTCCTCATCGTGGTCTCGGGTCACCACTCTTCTACTCTATGTGACCAGTGTGATCTCTGTCACAACAGCAGAATCTTGAGTTTACAGACTGTGCAAATGACTCGGAGAGAAGAGACAGACTCGAAAGAAAACTAGGAGATGTGAGGGAATAAAAAAAGGAAGAAGGAACAGTAGAAAATTGAAATTTGATTTTGCCACTTTCTGTGTATACATCAGTCTGCCCCACTGATCCATGAGCTCTTCAAATGCCTAGAAGATATTAAGCAAGTATTTAAGTCTGAGCCAATGCTATTTGATCTTAGCATTGGATGGAAAGGATGATTTGGAGTACAGCTCGGAGCACATATTTATGCTTAAACCCTCCTCTTTTTGCCAACCTTCCTGCCAACATTTATACACTCAAATGGGTACCTAGGCAAAGGGTCTTCAGTAAAAAAACAGCAATGCAAATTCAAAGACCTGTTTCCTCCAACCTCCAAAAGCTCAGCTGAACATGGTGAAGGTTTTGCATAACTAGCTGCATGAGGCTCATCTTGTCATTGACACGGGGCATCACAGTCTTGCCCAGGTCACTGTCAGCAGTGGAAGTGGTCTTGTGGAAATGAGCAGTGTGAGTGGCTGCCTCTGCTAGGTTTTGGTACCACTGCTTCCAGTTAGGATATTGACAGTGTCACAGGGAATACCAGTCCATCAAAAATTCATTTCCTCCTCTTCCTGGGGACAGGGAAAACAATACTTCCTCGCCCGCCTAGCAATTTGGTTTGCTATGTGAGTAACTTCTAGTCAATAAAAAGTGGGAAGACACCATCCACACTATTTCCAGGCTGGACCCTGGAAAACACCCCATGTTTTCCAGCTCAGCCAATATTCACTTTTCGTTTCCTCCGGCTGTGCTGGTGATCCTCACAGACCTTAAAAATCTTATGTTAAAGATGGCAAAGCTGCCATTATCCAGAATCCCTAAATAATTGTGTTAACAAGAGTCTCTATTTTTCAGTCTCTTGGTTTACCTGGAATCTTTCTGAATTTTTATGAAGAAACAATCTTACATATAATTAAGCCATTACATAGATGGGTATATTAATTCCTGCAGCTTTGTCTCCCCTTATTTTTTTTTAACATTTTTATTGAGTTATAGTCATTTTACAATGTTGCGTCAAATTCCAGCGTAGAGCACAATTTTTCAGTTATACATGAACATACATATATTCATTGTCACATTTTTTTTCACTTGTGAGCTACCACAAGATCTTGTATATATTTCCCTGTGCTATACAGTATAATCTTGTTTATCTATTCTGCATATGCCTGTCAGTATCTACAAATTTTGAACTCCCAGTCTGTCCTTTTCCACCCTCCGCCCCCCTGGTAACCACAAGTTTGTGTTCTATGTCTATGAGTCTGTTTCTGATTTGTATTTATGTTCTATTTTTTTTTTTTTTTTAGATTCCACATATGAGCGATCTCATACGGTATTTTTCTCTCTCTTTCTGGTTTACTTCACTTAGAATGACATTCTCCAGGAGCATCCATGTTGCTGCAAATGGCGTTATGTTGTGGGTTTTTATGGCTGAATAGTATTCCATTGTATAAATATGCCACTTCTTCTTTATCCAGTCATCTGTTGATGGACATTTAGGCTGTTTCCATGTCCTGGCTATTGTAAATAGTGCTGCTATGAACACTGGGATGCAGGTGTCATCCTGAAGTAGGGTTCCTTCTGGATATATGCCAGGAGTGGGATTCCTGGGTCATACGGTAAGCCTATTCCTAGTCTTTTGAGGAATCTCCATACTGTTTTCCACAGTGGCTGCACTAAACTGCATTCCTACCAGAAGTGTGGGAGGGTTCCCTTTCCTCCACAGCCTCTCCAGCATTTGTCATTTGTGGTTTGTCTACCCTTATTAACTCACATGGTGACCACAGAAGATCAGAGCATAAAAGGAAGGAAATGGCATACAGTCCATAGTGGCAAATGGTATATAGTCACAAAGTGCAATGGACAAATCCTTTAATGCTTCCCAGAAATGCTTGGTTGGTATTGGAGGAAGACTAGAATTCTCTGTACAATGGGATCAAAGCTAGAGAAACATTGCTTTTGACTATTTTATCACTGTATTTTTATCTACAGCTTCCTAGGATCCGTAAGATATGAGCAATTGAATGAAATGACTAATGTAAAGAATGTTCCTGCTTCTAATACCTCACAAATGCCTTCATAGCAACATTCAAAATCCCCAGGAAATGGCAGAGTGTACTGGAAAACTGTCAGAAAATTTCTGAAAAAGCTGTGTTTTATTGAAGACTGTATGACCTTGGAAAAGTTACTTAACCTCTGTAAGCCTCGGTTTCATCATGAGGCTAAGAATACTGACCTCGCAGTGTTGGTGCAAGGGTCTAAGAAGATGATACAACCAAGGACAATCAATATGACTAAGACTTTGACAGAGTTAAAAGAAAAAAATAAATAAAAAGTAATTCCTGAAGGACACAATGAAGTATTTGAATTGCTCAGGATGTGACTTTGGATGGAATTGAGTTTACTGATTTCAGACTTTACTAACTTTTTGGTTGTTACCATAGTTTAGATCCTATTAAAATTATTAATGTTTATCATGGGCTCTGGGATCCAACTCTGACCACAATTTAAAGTATTTTGCACCATTCTGTCCGTCTGACTTATGAAAATGGCAGTGCAGGAAGCCTGTCCTCCACAAAGTGCTGTAACTCGGAGCTGCTGTGTATTGAGCTGAGTGAGCCTCGCTCCTCCACTTTAGGCTGAACAGGCTGGAGCTCGTGCCCTGGCCAGCTCAGCTGTCAAGACTCAGTGGAAACCCACCATCCAGCCTACAATTCCGGCAGAGCCTGAGAATCCCTTTCCTACCACTGCAGGGTTCTAGGATGTGGTCCTCAAGGCTGCAAGGTCATGTGTCTCAGGTGAACCCCAGGCATCCTCTAGCCCCCACCCATGCTATGTGGCTGTGGTCCAGAAGCCACTTTTATCTTGATGCCTTGATTCCTTTTTTTTAGGTTATCCAGTTCTTATAGCTGACTTACAATCTTGTGTGAGTTTCTGGTATATAGTACAGTGATTCAGATATACACATATATTTATATATGTATTCTTTTTCATATTCTTTTTCATTATAGGTTATTTCAAGATATTGAATATAGTTTCCTGTGCTGTACAATAGGACTTTGTTGTTTACCTATTTTATATATTATAATTTGAATCTGCTAATCCCAAACTCCTAATTTATCCCTCCCTCTACCCTTTCCCCTTTGGTAACCAAGTTTGTTTTCTATGTCTGTGAGTCTCTTTCTGTTTTGGAAGTAAAATCACCTATCATGGGCTGTGTCTCTGCCCTGAACCTCATTCTGGCAGACTAAAGCCTGGCAGGGTTCTTGGCCCTGGTATGGCCCCTACAGGTGTGGGATCCTTCTTCCTTTGACACTGACTCTCCTAACCCCTTGTCAATTCATCCGAACTGCGAGGTCCAAGTGGAACATCAGCCTGGCCCCTACCTGGCGCTGAGCATCAACAGTGCCAGAGTCCCAGCTGCCTCAGTTTTCATGCCAGCTGACAGCCAGCTGGTGCTCTGCTCCGGTCCAGACTGAGCACACTCGCATCATAATCCCTTGTTAACAGAGCTTTGAAGTGTGTATACAAACCACCCGGACAGATTGTTAAACTAACTCAGTAGGACTAGGGTGAGAACTGGCAGTCTACTTTTCTAACACGCTCTCAGTGGATGCCAGCACTGTAGGACCATGGACCACGGACCACATTTTGAGTAGCCAGCAATTCTCTTACTTCCCTCTTCAGTATCCATCAGGCTGCAGGATTAGTCCCTAAGCCTCACCTGGCGCCCTCTGAGCTTCCTCCAATGACTCACTCACTGTCATACAGCTTAAGTTCCAGCACATCTCATAAGAAGTTACACTCAAACACTGATGCACTCAGGTGTAGAAACAGGAACTCTTTCTACACACACGACCATTCAAGGGTCATAATTCATACTTACAAGATCCTTGATGACCTCTCTTAAGTTTTCCTAGAGCTAAAAATTAAATACCTCACCTATTTAGTATTCCTCCCATGGAGGCCAGGTTTCCCTCGCAGACCAGCCTGGACATCAATAGTTGGCATTCATTTGGATGGGAGACCCAGTAACACTCCTTGCAAAAGCTTCAGTTCTCATTACAGTATTGAAAAACAGCCTCCCATGTCACTAGCAATTAACACAGGTGGAAGGTTGGAATTATAAGCAAGAAAACAACCATTTTTCAGTGACTGTTCTGCAACTACATCTGGGTACAAACTGTTATGCTCTCTAAACATTTCTGGAAATAAGCCATTTCAGCGGCTGCAGAACAGAAATTTGATACTGATTATGTATTATGTTATAGTTAAAGAGAAAAACAGATTTTTTTTAAGTTAGCTCATCAGAATTGCCAATTACCCTAGTCAATGGGAAACTGCAAGCCTACAACATATGAAACAGTGAATCCTGTGGCAGTGGCAGTGGCAGGGCTGAAGGTGATCTTGTCTCAGCTACCTGGCCAACTGTGTTTCCAGGCTTTTGGAGCTGATATTACCTTCCATCTAAAGGGAGGAAAAATCAAAGCCCTTTGTCCACCTATTTAATGCGTTTTTATTTTTTCAGACTCAGAGGGGTGTCTTTGGCAGAAGCCTCTCATAGCAAGTTATATAAATATCTAAATCAAGTAGAATTGGCCCTCATTACCCGTCCTTTAGCAATGTGTTCTCACACCTGGAATGCTCCCCACCTGATATTTCAATACGTTCATTATGAGAATCATTACTGTAGAAATTCCCCTTCAGTAGCGACTCCATTGGCCTGAATGAACATCTGGCTGAGAACGCAGCTGGCGATGCCTCAATTCCTAATTGGGTGACGCACTTTCGATCCGTTAGTGCCGTGTCCTCAGGGTTTGGGTATGTATTTTGTTTTTCCCAAGCATCCTAACAAAGAGGTGTATCTGACCTCATAGTTCACGAATGTCATGTTGGGTCGGACTTTGTTCACCGTTTCTTATCCAAATTTTGGAAACTCACATATGGTTTCCAGACCCAGATTGACATGAAAGGCAGCAGTTTTCCAAGCGGTATGTGGGAGAGACGAGGGTGCTGGGTGCTGAGGAAAGCACGGGGGTGAGGCACACTGGAGGTGGGCCCCCTTTACAATACGAAGGCTGGAAATACCAAGTTGCAACGAGCAGAACCAAACATGCATCCAATTCCTGGCCAATACTGGTGACAAAAATAACTAAATATGAGGGAGCTTGAATGAGGAAATGGTTTTGGGGCGATCAGGCTGCCTCCGTGGAAATGGCTCCTTAATGATGTTAGAAAGTTTGGAAGGATGCGGCCATGGAGCTGGTTGATAGATACTTAGCACTGAGAGGTCTTGGGGAGACCTGTCTTTACTTGTACCTGTCTCCCAAAAGTCTAACCTAGTAGTCTCTCGATTCAAACAAAACTAACTCAGTTATCAAAATTGCACTGAACTGTCAAATGCATATAAACGTATATACATTAATTGTGAAAATATATAAAGACTTTGTAAAACAAAGCAAAACAAAAACCCCACATATATCAAAATGGAAATATTTTTAAACCTCTGAGTACCATCACAGGGACTATATAAACTTTCACGTCGCAGTTGATCTGCGCCTATACATTGTTTTAAATATGTATTGCTGGCTGCTTCCAAGTATCAGAACCTCTGGTTAGATAATGTCACTCCAATTCGTAGTATTTTCACTGTCTCTAGACAGATGGGTAGATGTGAGCCAGACCAATGGTTCCTGGTTCACGTCTACTCATCTGTTGCATCAATGGCTCTGGAACTGAAAGGAACACTACATACTCCCTTAGTCTAGACAGGGCGGGGCTGGATAGCACTGGATGTGGCTGGACCTGCATCTTGGCCACTCCAAGAAAGCACCTGCCCCAGACGAATTTCTAAGAGCTAGAGATAGGCTAATGCAGCAGTTCCCCAAATTGTTGGTCCTAAAAACCCTTTATGCTCTTAAAACTTATTGAGGCCTCCAAAAAGTTTTTGCTTAAGCCAGTCATGTCTATTAATAATTACTATCTTCAAAAATTAACATTTCGAAAATTTGAAATACAGTTGACCCCTGAACAACATGGATTTGGACTGAGTGGGTCCACTTATATGTGCATTTTTTTCCCCCAAGAAATACATACTACAGCACTACACATGTGGAACTGTGGATACAGAGGGCCACTGTAAAGTTATGCATGGATTTTCCACTGCACAGTCAACCCGTCTAACACTCACGTTGTTCAAGGCTCAACTGTATTTATTTGTTAATTCCATAAAATAGCAATTTAACCCATTATATGTTAACATAAGTAATATATACTTTTATAAAAATACATTTTCCAAAAACAAAACTAAATCAGTGAGAAGACTGGCATTGTTTTACAATTTAATGAATATCCTTAATGCCTGTTTTAATAGGAGGCACTTGGATTCCCAGATCTGTTTCTACAGTCAACTTTTGCAATGTCACAGACCATGTAGTCCCTGAAAACACAACTGTGCACTGGAAACACAGTGAGAATGAAGACAAATGACATCTAAGTATTACTATGAAATCAGTTTGACCTTATGAACTCTCTGAAATGGTCTTGGAGACCCAAGAGGTCCCTGGGTCACATTTTGAGAACCACTGGCCTAATGCATAGATTTCAGTATCACTTAAAGAACATTAACACCAAAACACAAAAATATAATTCACAATTGTCCCATTGATTCCCTAATTAAAGATCTTTTTTTCTGTTCTATCACATTCAAAATCATTAACAATTATTAACAATACAGTTAAAATTCAAAAGCCAGGGCTTTTGAATGATGACAAAAGTTAAAACAGATATGGGTTATACAGATATGATGGAATGCTACTAACATTTTTTACTTTTATTTCCAAAGCAAGCATAGAAAAACAAAATTAAGACAATGAATAGGAACTAGTTAATTCAACATCTTAAGAGATACATTTAATAAACACGTAACATGTCAAACACTGTTCTAAGCAGTATTTTTCACATTTACTCATCATAACAACCCACTTAGATTATCCCTATTTTATAACTGAGGAGACTAAATCACAGAGCAGATAAGTATTTGCCCCTAATTCCATGATAACTGGTAAAGACAGCATTTCAGCTCCAGCATTCTGGCCCCAGTCTCTGGGTAACCAATAGACCACGTTGTCCAACCCTGTGGTTATCACTGACTATCAATGCGGTTGCCTTCCAGGACCATTTTCTGGGGAGCTGCTCTTCAAATTGATGCAAACTTTGTTGTTTGTTGGAGCATCAAGCAGCCAATGCGCCCCCTCCATATTTTTTTCTAAGAATAATAAAAATATTTTCAAGTACTTTCCTTGGTTTTGAAGTTACTTTTCTTTGCACTCATGATCTACAGGTCAATATGTTCTTTAAAAACAAGAAATAGTCTTCTATAACCATGTGACAAGTTCCCTGATCTCTGTGTCTTAATGGTACAAACTTCTGGTTATAAAAGAAATAAGTTACGGGGATATATACTGCACAGCATAGTGACTACAGTTAATAATCCTGTACTGCATGTTTGAAAGTTGCTTCCCTGTTTTAGATACTTTAGTAAATCATTTCACTAGTTCTGAATTAACTATTTAAAGCACTGTTTTTCAAGTCCTCTTACTGCAATAGTTTGGATATGTTATGCCAATATCAGTAAGAGTAATACTAATATTACACCTATTATGATATGCCAATATTAATACTGTAATGTTAAATTGATAGAGCAGTTTAAAAAGTACTTTGGTTTATATCATGAACTGATACTGAGGCCCTAATGATAATCCGGGAAAATGAAACATACTCAGTACCCTATGAAAGCTAGAATTTGCAAAGTATAAGCTTAGGCTTTTCAAAGTATGGCTTTTATCATCAACTCAGAGTTTGAGGCCTAATTTAGACATGATCTTTATTGCCTAGAAAGGAATTTGGTCTCACTTTCCTGGCTAAAGGTAAAAAGGCAGTCACCAGATTTAAAGTGGGTAAGAGGAAGCATGGGCAAAAGGGAGATAAAAACGGCTTATTGTGTGTTTATCAAGAATCAGCCATTGTGTCTGGCTAGAGTCACATGACTTACAAGTGACTCAATGCTGGGCTCCAACCTCGGATTACTTCCTGCTGAGCCTGAATAGGGTACCAGCATCCCCTACATATTCCTCCAGCAACTATCTAGAGTTGGCTGCTGAGATCAAAACTGTTTTTCTCTTATCCTTGCTCGACTTTTTACATGTTTTATTGTATCTAATCACCATTATAGTCCTGTGGGGTAAACGGTTTTCATCCTCATTTTATTCATACGTAGAACATGCTCTTTAAGGCCAACTAGCTTGTCCAAGTTCACATGGCTATAACATCCAGGGAAGATTGAAACCTTGGTCTATTTGTCACTGAACGTTTGATTCCAACCTACCAGACCAGCTACATGATTAGTGAGGCCCACTGCAAAAATGGAAACATGCGGCTCTTGTTCAAAAATTATTAAGGACAGGAAAACAGTGACAGCAGAGCATTAAACCTAGTGCGAGGCCATTCTGAGCGTGAGGCCCGGTGTAGTGAATGAGTAGCATGGCGGTGAACCCAAAATAACCCCGCTCAGGAGTCACATGTTGGGGAAGAATGTTTCATTTCTTACAGGACACAGAGATTTTTTATAGAAATAACAAGCATGCCGTCTGAACCCAAACTGTAAGGCACTGGCTGACAAGCAGTTATGAGAATCATGGGACCTAATGCTTGAGATTCAAACAAATCCAGTCATGCACGGACACAGAATTAATGAGAACAAGGAATGAACTGTCGGCTTCTTTCCTCTCTTGCTGACACCCTACTCATCACCGTTAATCTTCAATGGTGAAAGCTGGTGTGCCCTCCTGGAGTGAAGTATTGATGGCACTGGCAGGGAAAATGCATTTGGGACTTAGATTGTTACTGAATCAGGATCCTTTTTTAATAGAGCAAGTCCTAAAGGAAAATGTTTTCATATCACTTTACTATTGACTGTTTTGTGGAACTGAAAAGGACAGATAACTTAGGCACTGACTTTTGATGAACAGCGATGTGCTTTTTCTTCTCAACCTACTTCTCCTCTCCCCAGTTTCCAGAATTTGGAGAATACATGCTTTTTAAACGCAAATTCCCATCAAACTCATTGAAACATTTCTTTCCCCAAACTGCCTAAGTTCAGAATTTGGTATGTGGTTCGTATTTCAATCCCTTATCTGTCAACTGATTTGCTGAACTCTCAGTCTGCGGGGCTAGATTTAATGGCTTCTTATCTGTCCTAGAGGAGAAAATGACTTGCCAGGTTAAAAAAAAATATGCTCAAATATTTGAATTCCCAACCTGGAAATAAATTTTTACTTTAATGTTAATTTAAAAGAGGGAGCTTCCTTCCCCTATGGGATTAAATAAATTTTTAAATGTAAAAGCACTGTGAGCTTGATGCTATATAAATGTAAGCTATTTTATCATAAATATACCTAAGATAGGAAAGAATATGCAACCATATATATAAATGTAGTTATTTCTCTTCAGCATCCCCTTATGGTCCAGATGCAGATACATACTGTAACTACTTTTAAAAACAGCACTATCTTTGATGAAGTTGTTAGAAACCTGGCCAAGTATTTCCCCCCAAAACATACGATTTTTAAACTGAGCAGGTGTCTGAAGACTATGTAACTGGGAGAACTTTAAGAATAATGCAAGAATGGAGTTATGCCTTTTGACATAAGCAGCCAAACAGAGGAGAGTGTACCTGTAGCCATATGCTTACTTAGCTCCCACAGCCTTGGGAAAGCAAGAAGTTACATGTGATACACTTGTCCCCTCCTGCAGCTGCTGTAATGTCGCTCTGTGTCCAGAACTTCCATTTGATTTCCCCATTTTTCTTCTGCTATGGAATCTGAATTATGAAGCCCCTCCATTTATGACCTCAAGTACTTTCACATACTCAAACCCATCTTGCTCATACTAGCCCAAGGAACTAAGACTGGGAAAGAAAAATTTTTGCTGACAAAATGGACAAACCCACCCAAACGAATGCCTTGGATAGTAAGTACCTAGAAATGAGGATATGGCAAAAAGACCTTTAAACATAGGCATTTGGTAGGCTTTTCAATTTGGAAATGTTGATTTGAAACTATAAATATCAATAAATGAAGTAGCAAATAAAAAGAATTTATGTTCTAGAAAAACTGGACCTCCACATGAAAAAAAAAATGAATCCGTATGCTGACCTTACACTTTTCACACAAATTAGATCAAAGTATATCACAGACCTAATATAAAGCATAAAACTATAAAACTTCAAGAAGATAACATAGAAGAAAATCTCAATGACCTTGTGCTTGGCAATGAACTTTTATATAACATACCAAAAGTACAATCCATGAAAGAAAAATGTGATTAATGGGGCTATCAATTTAGATTCAACTCAATTAAAATGTAAAACTTCAACTCCATGAAAGATACTGCTAAAGGAAAGAAAAGGCAAGCCACAGACTGGAGGGAAAATTGTAAAAGACACAGCTATCTGAAAGAGACCTTGAATCCAAAATATACAAACAGCCCTTAAAATTCAACAATGAGAAAACAATTAAAAAGTGGGAAAAGATCTAAACAGACACTTCACCAAAGAAGACTGGCAGATGGCAAATAAGGATGTGAAAAAATGTCAAACATCATAAGCCATTAGGGAAGTACAAATTAAAACAATGAGATACTACTACACACCTATTTGAATGGACAAAATCCCAATCACTGACAACATCAAATGCTGGCTATCAAGTGGAGCCACAGGAACTCTCATTCACTGATGGTGGAAATGCAAAAGGGTGCAGCCACTTTGGGAGACACTTTGGCAATGTCTTACAGAGCTAAACATATTTTTTACCATATGATCCAGCACTCATGCTCTTAGGTGTTAACCCAAATGAGATGAAAACTGACATTCACCCAATAACCTGTACATGAATTGTTTCAGCTGTCTTCACAGCTGTCAAAACTAGGAAGTATCCAAGACGTTCTTTAACAGATGAATTAAAAATAATAAATAAGCAACAATAAACGATAGGGAAGCAAAATATGCCACCCCAAAATGTTTTTTTCTTGGTATAAGGATTAATTTAGACTGACTAGTTTTAAGAAGCCGATGACTCAGGAAGTTATTCTTCTTACATCTCCCTTAACGGCCCAAAATAATTTAGATCAAAGGGCCTATTCCCAGAATGGAG